GACTTTTTGTATTTGAAGGATAGACATGTCACAGACACTTTAAATATCGCAATATGTAAGTGTATTGATATTTTCTAGTCAATTAGATGTGATGACAGCCATTTTCAACTGATCTGACAGATGTACATGTACATCCAGTGCTTACTTGGGCTGTTTCGTTCAAATCTATCCAGTGGTTCGTGAGTTATTTTATTAATGCAAAACACATGAGCACACTGACAGGTAAAAAATACCATCGCCCGCCCGCCTTTAAGCAGCAGGCAAAATAAAGCAAACTGATGCGTGCTCCTCTCAGTGAGTTAATGAAGGGAACTGCAGAGCGTGTGGAAGCGGAGCCTGTGAGGCCAAAGCCCCCCTCGTATAATGGGCCCGCTGAAGAAAAGGGGATCTTTGTTCGGTGCAACACAAGCAGGCTCCTCTTTAATGGCTCCGTGTGCATGCCAATCACTTATGCCATACAATCCCATCATGCAGCAGCCACAACACTGTGAGCCCACATCCCCATCATGTGAGCTTACAGGATGTGGTTCTTAGCCCGCCTCCCAAACACAGGAGCTGCCACTCAGGGGTCAATTTAATGAAGTGACCACAGCAGAGAGCTTCRCTGCCTCGGTTAGCACCACAGCATGCAGAGGTGATAGTTTATCTACAGACCTCAGGAGCCGAGCGGCACAGGTACACTCTCCGGGTCTATAAAGAGCTACTAAAACAACTAAAATGCATACCAAAAACAGAAGACGCACTACAAATGAGTTTTGGTGGCTTTGTCTGCAAAGACCCAGACCTCCGCATGTTATTTCCTCTTATTTTTGCTGTGATAAGGGTGTTTTCTTGCAACACATGGACCCTAGACAATCCATGACTGCAGATGTGAGGACCGTAATAACGCGTTTTAGACTGCCATCACTCACATACACTTCATAAACATAATGAAAACTCATCATTTTCGTCGTTTTGTGACCGAAAACTGTTTATGTTTAGTCAAATAAATTGCTGGAAGCTCAACGTTTGAGTAACAGTTGCTTTCCTCTCAAGTTACAATTTCTGAAGTGTTTTTTTTCTTCAACCGGAGACAAACTTGAAGATAAAAATCTTTGCAAATTACATTGTTACCCTCTCTCTGATGTTCTCCAATGAGAAACCTGAGTACAGCATCCTGTATAAAGATTAATCTCAGTTCAGTGAACCAGTTTCAGTTTCAAAGACTGCAGGATCTTGAATTCCTCATGAAGCTACACATCAGGTCTGACAGGGTGGCAGGATGTGATGTAACCAAGTCTGAAGCCATTCATTGTTTCCCTAAACCTTCATTCTTTTTTTTTTTCTTTTGGTTGTTTGTTTTTTTTAAATTACACACGAGAGACATGGCATAAATGGCTTCATCAAAACTGACAGAGTTCCCTCATGAATCACGTCTGTTATTCTTCGTGGTGATTCATTCGGTCACGGCTACGACAGAACACAACGGAGGAGAACTCTGCAGACACAAACTTTAATTGTTTAATTGTACTTCTGTAACTTAGCCAACTTGGAAATGTTCTGATTTCCACCCGAGGGCTTCTTCTCTACATCAGCTGTGTTTGTCGACACGCGAGACTCTGCAGGCCCTTCTTAGGTTCCAGTTTTCTCATCCGGTGGTTGTTCTGCAAGTCTGTCTGTTGAAGTGGCCACATTAAGACTTCTGCACAGCTGTATTCATTCATGCATCACAACGTTCGGCTCATTCAGGAGACAAGTTCTTGGACTTTGAGTTCTCAAAACTTTTATACTTGAAAAAAAATACCTCACATCTGGATCTCATCAATTATTTAAAAGCATTTTTTGTCTTGTAGCTACAGTTCTGCTACATTTAGGTTTTAGCTGACATTTTGCTACTTTTATCTTCCTTTTATTCGTATTCTCTTTTAGCTAACCTTGGCTATTATTAGCTTTGAGTTAAACTTTTGCTTCTTTTAGCTTACCCTTTTGTTATATTCATCACCTAGCTTTAACCTGTTGCTGCTTTTAGCTAGTGTTTTTCATACTTTAAGGTTTTTGGTATTTTTAGCTTCTAGCTGCAGTTTCACTAATTCGGGCTTGCTTCTTTGGCTACTTTTAGCAAGTATTTCACTACCAAAATGTTTTGCTTGCCTTTGCTACTTTTAGTTTCTAGCTAGCATTTCACTCATTTTAGCTCCCTTCAGTTAGCTTTTTGATACTGTTAACTTGTTTTTGCTACTTGTATTTTTAGCTTTTGGCTGCAGTTTTGTTCTCATTTTAGCTTGTCCTGATGCATCTCAGTAATCCAGGTAAAAAATCAAAGGGGTGCCACCAAGCCATTGGTTCAGATATGTTGACGACACCTGGGTTAAAATTAAAGCCCAGGAAGTCCAACATTTCACTGATCACATCAACTCTGTGGATGAATATATTAAGTTCACACAAGAGGATGTAAAAAATGGCAGGTTGGCGTTCCTGGATTGCGATGTCTCGGTTTCGGATGGAGGACGGTTGGAAACTGGCGTATATCGTAAGCCCACCCACACAGACCAATATTTGCGTTTTGACTCCCACCACCCACTGGAACACAAGTTAGGAGTGATCAGGACTCTGTACCACAGAGCAGACAGTGTCCCTACAAACCCAGGAGCCAGGCAGAAAGAGAAATCACACACACGACAGGCCCTGGAGCAGTGTGGTTATCCTGACTGGGCTTTCCTGAAAGCAGACAGGAAACACAGACAGGATTCCATGCAACCTTCAGGTGAAAATGAAGACCCCAAACCCAGACCCAAACCAGTGGTTATTCCGTATGTTGCGGGTKTTTCGGAGAAACTGAGACGTTTATTTTCTAAACATGATGTCCCAGTRGCTTTCAAACCCCAAAACAAATTACGGCAAAGGCTGGTTCACCCCAAAGATCCGGTGCCCCAGCACAAACAGAGCAATGTTGTATATGCTGTTAAGTGCCAGGAGGACTGCGACCAGTTATACATCGGGGAAACAAAGCAGCCACTGTTCAAAAGAATGTCCCAACACAGACGAGCTACATCTAATGGCCAGAACTCTGCAGTTTTCACTCATTTACAGGCCAGCGGTCACTCTTTCAGAGATGAGGATGTTCTCATTCTTGATAGGGAGGAAYGTTGGTTTGAGAGAGGAGTAAAAGAAGCCATTTTTGTGAAGAAAGACCGTCCATCATTAAACAGAGGTGGAGGCCTCCRTTTTCAGCTGTCCCCCTCCTACAGCGCGGCTATTGCCAGTATCACTCCACCCCCTGTTAACAATAAGTGTTAATTAGGTGTCAACGATAGCCATGTGATGTATCAGTCACATGGAGGCAGTGCTTAAAAGCCTGAATTTTGCCTGAAACTCTCAGACTGAAGAAGTCTCTTGGAGGAGAGACGAAACGTTTCATTAGAGAAGAACCCGTCCAGAAGACCTATACAATTTTTTTCTTTTTGATTTTAGCTTGTGTTTTGCTACTTGCTACAATGTTCTGCTTTTTTTTTAGCTCTTAGCTAATATGCAGTATCTTTTAGCTTCAACAACTCAGTTTCAGCTTCTTCAGCACATTTCAGCTGTCATTTAGCACTCATGCTGCACTGACGCAGTAAAAGCTGATTCTCTGATTCTGATGTATTAGTCATCATCAGATTAATGGAAGACAAACTTAATGGTGACCAGGCCTTTCTGATTTCAGATCATGAACTAATAAAACGTTTGAAGATGGAAAAGTCATCACCTCCAGATCTGGACCTCCTTGGTCCTCTGAAGCCACACCTTCAGTCCCCCAGGTGGCGACTGAGACAAAGCTCAGAACACCTCAAAGTGGTCTGAGGCCTGTCCTGTAGAAATAGCAGACAGGGGCCTGTGGGGTGTCAGATGTCAACAGGGACCAGTTGCTGGAGTCCCCACCCCACACACACACACACACCCCTCCTCATGCTTCCAGCAGCTGTGTCTTCTCAGAGCTCACATTCCTGTGGGACAGAGCCACTCCACTCTCATCACCTGTGCCCATCTGAGGACAGGATGATCTCACAAAACAATATAAATTAAAAAAAATTATATAAAAATCACAGCCATTTTATACAAAAATACAACAAACCTGCACGTTTGCTTCTGACCAATCAGAAGACGTTTAACTGCACACTGCAGATGTTAATCTAATCGGGGTGACACAGAACTGTCAAGACAAAAATAACACAGTTTGTGTTCCCCTGGTTGTTTACAAGTCAGCCAACACTGTCCCAGTAAAAGATTTCCTCACCGTCCCAGTAAAAAGACATAAAGATGGATCCCAATGAGTCAGCAAACACAAGGACATGGGAGGATGCAGCTTAATGAATTATGAAACGTCACTAAAAATAAAACCCCTCTGGTGCATTAAAGGCTCGGGTCCAGGATGCTGGAGTTGGAGAGGTCTTCACTGACAGTGGGGGGACTGAGACGTGACCATGACTCAGCATCTTCTTCCTCACCTCAGTGGGCCTCACTTTACAACCACAGCTGCTCCCTGCTCAGAAAATGCACTGTCTGACCTCTGCTAAATAATAATACATGGACAGATTTCCCCTCCCAGCTGCAGTTTCCTCCCTTTTTTTTCTCAGTGACCCTGACTGCTCGGAGCAAGTCATTTCTCYGGTTAGTAGCAGGGATGTTGTTGTATTTCCTACTTGAACACTGATGTTTTGTCTGTCATGTTGCGCGGTTGCGGCTGGAGCACAATTACAATACTGTTGGAGCAGATCAGTGTGGGTTATTATTACAGTGTTTGAAGATTAATCTCGTGGCTCATTATGTAAATCAACCTTCCTGCATCTCATTCTCTTCGTCACACACACCCAAAACGACTGACAGCTGAAAACAATGTTGCAACTGAGTGCAGTTCAGACGAACAAGTTTCTAACAAAGACGATGTTTTTTAATGATTCATGGATTCATCAGCAGCTCCGGCTCAACGCCGCCTGCCTGCAGCCCACCACCATTACTGCTCAAACACCAAACATCTCTCTTACCTCCAGACTGAAGTCAAATCTGAAGCTTTTCTCCTCCTGTCAGGCTTTTTAGCTGCAGAGCCACCGCACACACTGTAGCACCGCTGGGAAAAAATGACCAAGACATCTATTTTTTCCTTTGCATTCTCACTGAATTAAAATAGATGGTCTTTTTTTTTTAATTATTTTTTTTTTCGTCTGTTTGTTTCCAACCGGCGCGCCGGGGGGAAATAAATCCTTAAAGTTCAATTCCGCGGTGCTTCTTGTCTTAATCCGAGCGTGTTCGCAGTGTTGAACGCTATTAAAAAGCTATCTTTCTCCGCAGCTCAGTCGCTGGAAAAAAAAAAATCCTGCCGTCGCCTCGTTAATCAGTGTGGCCACTCTTCAGGCGCGACGCTGTGTGCGCGTTCACACGTCTGTGGGCGTGGAGAACCGCCAATGGAAAGGCGGAGTGATAACAGGAAGTGAATTCTGAAAATAAAACGAGAGCAATGTAGCCACAGCACACCGAATGTTTTAAATGTGCGAATATCTTAAATACTACAGTTATTTTGAACATTGTAAAATATTCACAAAACTTTGTTTGTTTTAATTTATAGATGTGTAGCAACCTTTTGTCATATACACGTGTCAAACGAGAGCACTAATTGCTTTTTAGCGATTACGTGTACTGGCGAAAACGGTTACCGGGTCATCAGTGAGAAGAGAAAGCAAGTACCCGGATGTAAGCAGCCAATCAGAAGCGAGTTTGTATCTTTACTGTCGTAAAATGTTTACGGCGCTRTCACAGATGATAACGCAATGATGAACAACGCCGTTGCTTTCGTCGTATTTGTTATTTAAAACGTCTTTCACAGGTAGGGTTAGCGAATGACTCAAACATGTTTCAGTGTCACAGTGTTACAGTGTGTGTTATACAGCGTAAATCAGTTATTTATTGCTTCGTGAGTTGGCGAATGTAATGGTTGGCTAGCTTGTGCTAACTCGGACTGTTCGGTGGTTCGTTGCCTGCCTGCCAACAAAAATGATGAACTAAACGCATTGCAGCAGCGCGATACTCCGCAGTGGATTTACAGCCGAGCGGTGGTAATGTGTAAAAAACAGCACCGTTTCTGAAGAAAACAAAGTGAACACATATTGTCTTCAAGTTCAGCTGAAGAGCTGTGAAGTCATTTTTACTTGGTGAAACTTTAACAAAGCGTCTTCTCACGAATTACCTCTGAAAGTTATATAATTATGTTAGGATGACATTAGAAATTTTTTATTTTAAACTGAACAAATGTGCTCCAGTTTGCACAAAACCCCAAATAATCTTCTAATCGATTATGACTCATTTTTAAGAACACAAAGTTGTATTAATGAGTTTAATTTTTTCAATAAATTGTGTTATTTTGCACTTTTCAAACAAGTGGTAAATTAGCTTTATTTAAAATTACAATAGATAATAAAAGTAATCAAGAATATGGATATGTTTATTGTTTATTGAACAATAAAACCTAGTAAGTTTGTCTGTATCCCACTTTCAGGGCTTAACATCCATGCCATTTAGTATAAGATAGACCAAAATGGTGTACAAATAAAGCCAACTAAATAAATGATAATCACCATTTCAGTACAACAAACCAGAACAAATTATTAAATAAAAAAGGTAAAGCATAAGGTAAAATAGTTTCATCAACATAAAATATACTGCAAACAGAAGATTGAAATGTGTTTTAATATGGTCAAGAAGAGCTGTTGAATAATCTTGATGAGTTAGTTTTCTCTTTTCTTCCGGTTTCAGAGTGACGCTCCCAGACTCCGCTGGATGATGGATCCAGTAGTGCTGAGCTACCAGGACAGCCTGTTACGGCGCTCCGATGTCTCCTTACTGGAAGGACCTTACTGGCTTAATGACCGAGTGATCGGGTTTGCCTTCGAGTATTTTGCCAGTGAGCGTTTCAGAATCCTGGGGAAGTCCATCATCTTCATCAGCCCAGAGGTCACGCAGTTCATCAAGTGCGCTTCTTGTCCTGGCGAGTTAGCCGTTTTCCTGGAGCCGCTGGATCTCCCCTCCCGTCGTTGGGTCGTCTTGGCCGTCAACGACAACTCCAACCAGTCAGCCGGAGGATCCCACTGGAGCCTTTTGTTCTATCACCAGAACTCCAACCTCTTCGCGCACTACGACTCGCGAGATGGCAGCAATTCGCTGCATGCGCGACGCATCGCCAGCAAGCTGGAGCCTTTCCTGGGCGGTTGGAGTAAAGCGCTGTTCGTGGAGGAATCCTGCCCATCGCAGCAGAACAGTTATGACTGCGGCATGTATGTTATCTGCATTGCTGAGGCCTTGTGTGAGAAGGTCATGCTGGAGGGCTCGCCACGCCTCCCTGTGCAGATCATCACCCCGGCCTACATTACCCAGAAGCGAGCCGAGTGGTGCAGATTGATCCAGACTTTGGCTCAGAACAACATCAGCTGCWCTGTCTTTCCCTTAGCACGTTGAGGGCCCGCCTCACTATATGCAGAACAGCTATCAGCTATCTACTGCTGGAGAACCTGAATGCACTCCTTAAATACAGCGTATAGCTACATATTAAATATATTTCTATTACAGTCTCTATTGTATTATAAAAGTAGAGCAATGTTGGAATTTGTAATGCTCGAGAGAAGAGTTGGTATCATGTTTGTCCCGTGTATATGCAGAGCAACATACAGTATGTAAACAAGAACACCAGCATGCCTATAAAACTAAAAGGTGTATGTGCTTTGTGAGGCGGAGGAGGATTTTTTTTTTCTCTCAGTTTCAGCAGTTTGGAGTGAACGCTGTGATGTTTACACAGATTTATTGCTCAGGGTCATTGAAAATGAACTGACTTGACAATAAGAATGTGCATATTTAGCTGGCTCCTACGTCGTGTCACTCGTGGTCACTTTGTGTTTCGGTTCGAACCCTCTACGTCCAAACTGTAGGACTTTGTGGTGTGAGGCTGAGACGTGCGCTGTGTGGGTTTTTATTTTTATTTTTTGGGGGGACAAAGGGCATTGTTGAGTGTTGGAATGTATGTATCAAACTTGCTGTCTGATCTGATAAAAGTGGCTGCTGTCACGTTTTTCTGAAGAGAAAAAAAATGTTTTCTGGTTTTTATTTGAGCTCTCGACTGCTTTCTCGTTTTATGTTTAAATTTAAATATTAAGCCTCTTTTAGTTTGGCAACACACAATACTTCAAACAACTAACTACAAATAGTTATGTTTATTCGGCTGAGTATTTGAATATTTTATTGGTAATACATGCAGGTAAAATATTTTTACCAATGATTGAACCTTGAGTCAGGACTAGATCGACCTCAAAAGTTAAATCCACGCATCTTACTTTGTTTGTTGTGATTGACAGATCAGTTAGGCTTGTTTAAAGTGGGATCTATAATAATATTTGCTCAAAGATTTTTGACATTATTCTGTAATATGCTGAGGGCCTTAGTCTAAAAACATTTCTAAGTGTTAAAGCATTTGCTGCCTGGAGTATTTGTAAATATTTAGTTATAACTTACAATCTTTAGCCTTCACTGAGATTTTATTTACAGATGGATAAAACATACAAGAGGTGTTTGGATTTGCATCTGTGACTCTGTTCAGAATCAGTTTTTTGTTGAGTTGACTGATGCAAGTCCATATGAAAATAAAGTTTAAATACTCAGGAACAAGGTGTATTTTGCTCCTAAGGCTTTAACTGTAGTCTCAATAAAATAATTAAAACAAAAACAGAATTATCAAACTATATATTCTATTGCCCGCATCATGAGTTTACATCAAACCATAACCTTAAACATTGTCATCAATAATAATTTCACAAAATAATTTACATACTGTGACAGAGGTCACTAATGGAGTGAAACGGCTGCAAGGCGCCAGGGGAGGATGAGATTCGTCCCAAGATCCTGAAGGCTCTGGATGTTGYGGGGCTGTGGTGGTTGATGYGTCTCTTCAACATTTTTATGGAGGCACAGTCGTGAAGAGGAGGACGAGGGGGTCTGGTTTGGGAACCGCGGGGTCTTGTCTCTGCTGTATGTAGACGATGTGGTCCTGTTGGCGTCTTCAGACCAAGACCTTCAGCGGACACTTGGGCTGTCCGTAGACAAGTGTGAAGTGGCTGGGATGAGTCAGTTCCTCTAAGTCTGAGGCCATGTTTCTTGACCAGAAATGGGTGGAATGACACTATTGGGGCGCCAAGTGTAAAATAAAAACGTTAAGGAATTTCACTAACATATTTTTCATTATTTAGATCACTTTTTGAGTGTTAAAAATTTTCTACTAACATTTTATTTTTTATTTTGCTCACTTTTCATAAATTAGCTAATTTTTAATAATGTTTGAAATACATATTTAAATATTAAGTCCTAAATCTAAATGTTTAAATGTAAATGTGAAAGTTAAACCTTAAATGTTGAAGTCCACATTTAGGTATTTTATAATGGAACACAGGCTTTGCTGTTGGTTCTCGGCTCATGCTATGATGTCATCATCCTGAGACAATAGCAACCACTGGCATGCCAATGACGCTAAAGCTTACAAGATTTAAGATTTAATATTTAAATAATTTTTTTAACATATACTATATTGCCAAACGTGTTTGCTCACCCATCCAAATTATCTGATTCAGGTGTTCCAATCACTTTCATGGCCACAGTTGTATAAAATTAAGCACATGAAAGAACGGGTCGCTCTCAGGAGCTCAGTGAATTCCAGCGTGGAACTGTGATAGGATGCCACCTGTGCAATAAATCCAGCCATGACATTTCCTCACCATTCTACGGTCAACTGTCAGCTGTAYTATAAGTAAATGGAAGTGTTTGGGAACGACAGCAACTCGGCCACGTAAAACTGACGGAGCGGGGTCAGCAGATGCTGAAGTCCATAGTGCGAAGAGGTTGCCAGCTTTCTGCAGTCAATCACTACAGAACTCCAAACTACACGTGGCCTTCAGATTAGCTCAAGAGCAATGCGCAGAGAGCKTCATGGAATGGGCTTCCATGGTCAAGCAGCTGCACCCAAGCCATACATCACCAAGTGCAATTCAAAGTGTCGAATGCAGAGGTGTAAAGCACACCACCACTGGACTCTAGAGCAGTGGAGTCACATTTTCTGGAGTGACGAATCACACTTCTCCATCTGGCAATCTGAKGGAACAGTCTGGGTTTGGCGATTGCCAGGAGAACTGTACTTGTCCGACTGCATTGTGTTAAGTTTAAAGTTTGGTGGAGGGGGGGATTATGGTGTGGGGTTGTTTTTCAGGATCTGGGCTTGGCCCCTTAGTTCCGGTGAAAGGAACTCTGAATTCTTCAGCATACCAACACATTGTGGACAATTCCATGCTCCCAGCTTTGTGGGAACAGTTTGGAGCTGGCCCCTTCCTTTTCCAACATGAATGTGCACCAGAGCAACAAATCAATGTCCATAAAGACATGGATGGCAGAGTCTGGTGAGGATGAACTTGACTGGTCTGCACAGAGTCCTGGCCTCGACCTGATAGAACACCTATGAGATGAATTAGAACAGAGACTGAGAGCCAGGCCTTCTGTCCAACATCAGTATGTGACCTCACAAATGTGTTTCTGAAAGAATGGTCAAAACCCCATAAACACTCCTAAACCTTGTGGACAGCCTTCCCAGAAGAGTTGAAGCTTTTCTAGCTGCAAAGGGTGGACCAACATCATATTGAACCCTATGGATTAGGAACGGGATGTCACTGAAGCTCATATGCGAGTCAAGGCAGGTGAGCCAATATGTTTGGCAATATAGTGTATCTCTATCTCCAGCAAGCACTGAGCCAGTGACAGGGTACACTCTGGAAAGATGACCAATCCAGATTTTATTTGCAAACACAGCACATACAGTAAGTAAATAGTTTGGTTGATTTATTTACWGTATTTTCTGTTGTAACAATGCTTCTTGCCAACAGATCTTTTACTGTCAGAAAGCCTGTTTATTTCTGTTTGATTGGTTCGACGTTTGTTAGAAAAATGCATTTGTGGATTGAGCCGCAGAGAGAAATATGTGGGCACTACAGCCTATTGTTCTGAGCTTCTGATACCCTTGGTGCTGACAGCCAGGTGTCTGATTGGCACCTGACTGTCAACACCTGTGAGCATGGACCTGGCCACATTTGGGGTCTGCTCCAAGCTTGCCACATCTGGATCTGATCTGGATAGGACCTGGGCCTTTGGGTAGCTTCGAGCTGGAGAATTATTAACAGTGAGCCCCAGTGCCAACTTTGAATTAAAGACTGCACCTTCAGAGTGGGGTTTATCAGAGACTACCTCCAGAATTTGGAAGTGAAGAGGATAGAATGACCTGCCTGCGTTCCTGACCTCAACTCTATTGAATATCTGGGGGATCAGCTGTTTGTTCCAGGGTGATCAACACAACCATGCTGGCTGACTTACAACAAAGGCTAGCTTAAGAATGGGACACTATAACACAACAGAGTGTAACCAAGCTGGTGAGCATCAGAGGGCGATACTACTGGTAGGTTCTTGTGGCTGTATATGGTTCGTCCACATGGTACTGAGGCACATTTTTGTTAAATAAACAATTACATCGTCAATATTTCTTKTCTCTTAAGACCACTCATCCAGTCAAATCGATGATACCACATGAATCGCTCAGCTGTGAGTTACATTGTTATGTTCATTTCTAAAATATCTGCATAGTTATTCATCACCTTGTAATCTGGCAGCCCGCCCTGCCCTCTTTTACACACTTGTTTTATCACTCTATTCTGCACCTCTGCCGGAATTGTGAGTTTAGTTTTACCCTCGGGTTTATTTAATCTGGCATAACCAGTCTGACGTGCCTTAAGGGTTTGCTATTGTCTTTATTAAATGTCACGGAGCTGAACATTCCCTGTGTCTGTAACAAACTGAATTAAAGTGACAAAAAAGTGCAAGAAATGTTCTGATTTGTTTTTAAATGTTTGTTTCGTCAACTCCTTTCAGCAAATACAGGGCAACAGAACTTGGCTCTTTTATAATTTTGTTGTATTCCAAACTGTTATTTTTACACCACAAATTAAATTCATAAAATGTATCAATTGTGCCCTAAACTATATTCCTGAAACATTCATGTGACATTTAATTCCTACAAAAGTTTCATGAGGTTTCATTCTGCTACAAATTGGATTATTGACCATCTCARTTCTCATTAGAAATTAGATAATTTTCACCTCCTGGACCTGATAAGTGAATATTCACACAGTGCTATTATGCTAACCAAAATGCTAAATGCTATGCTAAGTTGAACAAATCCAAACTACACTCACCGGCCACTTTATTAGGTACACCTGTCCAACTGCTCGTTAACACTTAATTTCTAATCAGCCAATCACATGGCCGCAACTCAGTGCATTTAGGCATGTAGACATGGTCAAGACAATCTCCTGCAGTTCAAACCGAGCATCAGTATGGGGA